TGTGCCCCCCCCCCACCACCACCACCTTGCACGCATCAGGTGACACGTCCCTGGCGTTTCATTTAATCTGTGCGCAGCAGCACGGTTTTCCCCTGTTGATGTTACAATCGGGACGTTTTTTCCTTTTTTTTTTTTTTAACAAGAAGGAAGCAAGTTAGCCGTTTATCTTTGATCTAAGCTGAAGGTAACTCCTCATGCTTTTCTCACATTTTGCTCTGATCGCAGTTTATACGCTTTGCTGCGTTCATTGTCTAGCGCTTAACTAGTACAGCGATGATTACAATTGTTTGAAGAGATGCTATTTTAGTATGTTGACTCGAGCAGTATTTTTGGGTATAGTTCTGCTGTCATAAAGCAGGCTGTCTGAAGGATGTTTACAGTTCTGGGCAATTTCAGTTTATTGGAAGGCAGAGCATTTACTTGAAGCACTTTGGTGCTGTGATTGCTCATCCTTGCAGTTACTAATCACCTACAGTATTCACTGCGTTAGGTACATTTGTGTAAAGCTGAGGTATTGCAGCAAGTCTTAAAATTTCCCTCTTATGTATTTCACATTCACATCAGATATTAGTTCACTTTCTTAAAAAATGGTATGGTCCAATCTTGCGAGATTGGATCCCTGTGGATGCCCTCCCCCCCAAATCGCATGAAAAGCAGCCAGGATTTAAAGTTTCGCTTTACAATAGTTGTTTAAAATACAACATCAAGTTATTAAAATAGATGCATTTTTGTAACAGGTCAGAAAGTATAGAAAGTGCTGATTGATATATTCTGCTTTAAAGTATCTGGTATGCCTTCGCTGCTTCTGTAGTCCTGCAGTACTAGGGTGAAAAGGAAATAGTTGTTAATGCAGGTTGTGAAATGCGTTGGAAAATATTGAGCTTCGTTCAGGCTGAACTTCAAGTATTGAAAAATTTGAGTAAAACACTTGTATTGAAAACTTCCAGTACTGAAGCGTTAGTTTTATGTACTAAGCCTAGACATGGTATAGCTTTGCATTTAGGCAGAATTGTTAAACTGTCCTGTAGACTTTAAAACATTTCTAAAGCCTAGTTTTGCTTGTTGTTAAGGATGTACTTATTACGTGTATCTGCAGATTTGTTTGTTAGGGTAGAATTTAACTAATATTCATAAATAAGCTGTGTGCGATGACTTTCATTTTGGAAAATAGTCCAAAGAAGCTGTAAGACTGCTAGTTCCCAAAGTCTTATCCAAAATTTCATGTGCGGTATTTCAATCTTGAGGTTGTGTTAGTCATCTGGAATGAAATGAGGTCTTTTGGATTTAGGGTCATTATAAAACGCACAGACCTTCGGAGGAGTACGTAAGGGCCCTTGTGGGGCACGTAAGCAGGGCTGCTGCATCCTCTGGTCAGCAGCGGTAGACATCATATCTGATGCTAGATTCACATTAGGGTCTTTTTGCTTGATGGACCCACTCAGTCTCTCCTCAGCATTCGCAGCTTTGTCCCTACCTCCTCCTCCCTGTATTCCCCCAGCACTAGGCTGCCCAGTGCAAATGTGTGAGGCAGCGGTTTGCCACTGGGGAGCTGGGGGAAGTGCTATCCCCTTCCTGCCAGAGGTAAGGAAGGTGTCCTGGGTTGGGGCTCTAGGAAGCCCCAGGAAGTTCCACCCAGCCTCTTCCCCTTTCCTCTTACTTTTCTTCCCTTCCTCTCATTCCCCCATGAAACAGCTCTCATTCTGGACAGCTCTATGGAGATTATAACATTTGCTTTGAGGTGACAAGGATAGGAAGCAGTGGCACAAAAGACTGTAAAGCAGGCTGGGATGACACGTGCCTTGTGTGAGGTAGCTGGCTGGCTGTAGCATGACCAGAAACCCCAGCTTGCCAGCAAGCACGAACGCTGTGCCTGGCTGCGAGCAGATTAGATGAGGGACCTCTGAGTAGGCAGGGGATGTGGGTAAGGCAAGCCGCAGGCGCTGCAGGGGAGCCCTGCGAGGATCTGGGAGCCTGCCTAGCGAGGGAGCACGTGGGGCTCTTACTAGGAAAGGGCTTCAGGGGACAGTTTAGGTGGGAGAGTGTCGGCTGTGCTGGAGTTTGAGATGCACAAACATATCTTGGAGAGAACTAGTACATGTTGTTATCCCCTGAGAAGCTGCAGGGAGTGGAAGGTGAGGAGCTGCCGGGTAAGTGTGTATGTCTGTGAGAATCTCCAGGCGGGGGGAGGGAAGGGGAGAGAGTTGAGAAACTTGAGAATTGCTGTTTTTACGTACAGAGTAGAGTGTTCAGACTTCCTTTGCGTGATGTGTTCTTTCTGCTAAAAGTTCTATCAAATTTTAGCTGTTAAACAGTTACAGGAAGCTGGAGAAGTTTACCTTTAAATTTCGGATTCTGACCACTTTTGTGCAAATGTGCAAGGCAAGAGGTGTAAGAGCAGAAGTGAATGCAGAAAATCTTACTGCTTTGCACATGGGGTACTCAGGGTTTGCCCTTGCCCTTCACAGTAGGCTTCTCGGTTCTGGACTTGCAGCAGGTCTTTGGAACGGAAGGGAGCAAATGATGTCTGTTTTTAAAGCACATAGTTTGAAAGTACCCATAATTCTCACGTTCCTCTAGCTACTGTTATTCCTCTAGGGATAACCAACCTAAAAATCAGCCGCTGTTTAGCACCGTGTCTTGGGAGTCACAATTTAGCAATGTTAGCAGAGAGAGTTGACTAGAAAGGACTCATGAAATAAGCCTTTTGGAATTTCTGGAGTTGTACAGTAGTAGAGTACAGATTTTTTTAAAATGATTTTTCCACTTTTTAGGGTCTGGTAAAAGGCATTCATTTCTCTATAAAAGCAAAATGTTGTTTGCATGGATTGCGCCCTCAGCAATTTGGTTTTTGGTGTGTTTCACAGCAGGTAAGGATTTCTTTTCTCTGCATAGAAATTATCACTTAAAAGAAGCACTCAGATTAATTAATTTTTCTTTCAGCTTCTGTATAAGGCATGAGTAAGCACCTTTCTTACCAGAGAAAGCAAAATTGGATATTTGATTAGGTTTATGTTGTAATCTCCTCAAGAACTGATTGATCCACTGCTGCTGTTGAGTGACTTCCCATTGTTCATGATAATGTATCCTGTTATTTATATCTGCTTGTGGTAGAAGGTGTAGAAAGTATTGTTCTGACTTGATAGCGTTTTACACTCTCATTGCACAGCTGTAAATGCCTGCAGTGCGGGAGGAATATGGACTTGGTTTTCGGTAGAAGAGACAAGTGCGCTCAGGCATTGGCAGCTCTTGCCAGTTATACATTGCATAAACATATGCACTGCAAGTCAGTTTCATTTGTGTATTTAAGGTAGTGTATAGCAAATAATTGCTAATAAGTTAGGTGGGGGTTATTTGTTTATTTTTTTAATTCAAAGTAGAAGTGTGCTGTTGGTTACAGGAGAAAACATGTCTACGGTTAATTTCTGCAGAGATTTTCAAAAGTAAATAGTGCTCCAGTAAATGGTGCTCCATCATTTTGCTTTATCCTCTGCAGCTGCTTATCTTGTTTTCCCACAGCGTAAGTGTCTCAGAGGCTGCCATCAAACACACATTCTTGTACACGGAGTTCAGCGTTGCCTGCCCAGCCTTTTATGTGCTGTGGAATTTTGAAAAGAAAATATACAAGAGGAAGTCTCTAGTGAAATCAGAGAAAATCTGACTGGTCTTTTCAGTAGAAACGTATCTGCCACTGTTTTACTGAAATGCAGATATATCTTTAAACAAAAACGAAGTAAGAGTTCTTCTGATTTTGCCTTAGGTTGCGCTTTTTTCATATGACAACTGGTAGCTAGACTTTGGTTTCTAATCTCCAGTTAATCAAATCAGTGAAGATTGTGGCAAAGCAATATATTATGAGTAACAGTGCAGAGACAGGAATTCTTAGAATTCTTACATTATAAATTTGGGAAGGCTGTCTTCATGGAGTGCAGCATATTTTACAAGATAAGTGATATATTCTTTTTAAAGATTTGTTATCCCTTTTTGTTGCAGAAGCATGTGGTACAGGAAACGTGACTGCTAGCACACTTTCCCATGGTGTTGCAGAAATATGCGATAAAGGAAATATGACTGCTAACACTGCTTCTCATGTCCAACCTGGAACGAATATTACCCTCGCATGCCAGCTAAAACAGCCAAAACAGAAAGAGCAATGCAAGATAGCTATTTTCCTTAACAGTTCTGAACTAAGTAGCAATTATGGCAGTTCAGTAAGCACCAAATTTCTGGTCCAGACATATGGCAAACTCATGTTTACTTGCAAAGTAGTTTGTGAATACAAGAAAAAACTCATCTGTGGAATGGATATAGAGTCTGGAAGTAAGGATAATTTCTTTATTCTTTATTCTTACCCGTTTTCTGTGGTACCTCTGAGACGTACCTTAGAAACTAGTAGTTGGTGTCCTTTTTCAAAAATGATGCTATGTTTATTGACTCTTTGTATATAAAATACCGCAAGCTGAAACTGCAACACAGCAGGGGCTCTCCACACCCTGATTCCCAGCCACCCTCATGGATGGTCAGGACCACCATGTCTGCATCCTTTCCTTCTTTTGGGGAAGACTCTGCATACACCTGTTTCTGTCGCTCTGCACCATCCAACCTTTGAAAAAGTTAACATGTTAGTTTACACACAGTGATAACGCTTGTGTTACCCAACTTGCTTCGCAGCAGTAAGTGAGAGGAGGAGTCCAAGTCATTGATAAATGGAAAGGTGCTAAATAAAACTGCTCGTCTGGAGCAAATACAAGACTCTCTCTCTCCTGTTCCACCCCTGAAACCCACATCTCTCCTGTCCGCAGGGAGCTTGCAAGCAAGAGTCTAAGAAAATATCAGATTTTCTTCTAGCCATAGACAAGCTGATGCTGCTCCAGTAGTCACCTTCTATACTAGCGGAAGACAGGCTTCTCTTTTTAAGAAATAATGGTTTGTTGCTTCAAGCAAAACTTGTGGCGCTCAGTCATGACAGCTGTTAAGCGCTTGTATTCATTTGACACCCTTGTAAAGTGACTCAGGTTTTGCACAAGGGTCAGAGGTCTCAACAGATTGCAGAGATCATGGACTCAGCTATTTTTACACTTAAAAAAGTTGTCAGCCTGAATTTTTTGCACCTACTTGTCTGTGAACTCATTACAAAAATCCTAGTGTTTGTTAATGTCTCCTGTTGACATTTTGAAGGAAGAAACTGACAAGAATCTCTGTTTAAGATCCTCCAGATCAGCCAAAAAATGTATCGTGTATACAGTATGGGACAGATGGTAATCTTACCTGCACCTGGAATAAAGGAAGATTTACACACATAAACACTACATATGTAATACAGTAAGTAATGCATGGAGAGAGGTTCTTCGATACTTACAATTGTACCTCGGAGGGTTTTTTTATTTTTACACTGCTTATTACGGATTTACCCTTCCTTTTTATCAAAGCACACAAAAGATTCAGTATGTTTATGGATAAGTTAGTCCAAGGCTCCCGTGATGACAAAGGGCAATTATGGCTGTTAAAAAGATGTTTCTGTTTACCTTTGTGAATGCTGCACAGCAGTAATTCAGTTATTTCTGTCTTAGGCAGTTAAAGAGAGTATACCAAGACATGTCTCCCCTTTTGGAAATGGAAGTTTAATACTGGGAGTGGTCTTAAAATGGCTGGTTAAACCTGCTATTTTCCCTGTGGTGGATCTTCTCTATTGAGTTATTCTGTGACTGGCAATACCAGTAGCAGAAAACCTAGAATGTGAGCTTGTCACTCTGTCTCAGCGTTTAGCTAAGGAGATGGAGAAGGACCATTGCTTGGAAACGTGTTATCGTCACTTCCTGTTCAAGAACCGACAGTGTTGTTACTCCCTCTCATTTTGCTGAACCTTCCCTGAAACAGATCGTGGAGACTACCGCAACAAACTGTGAGGAAGGAGCAAAGGTTTTCTTTAGCCCATTGGGGTAGCACTGGGAGACCTTTTGATGAGAACAGTAATTTAGGGAATCATTGCATAGGAGATGTCAGGAACCTTACAAAAAAACCTCTACTCAAGCAAACACGTAGATAGAACGAATGAATTTTGCCATTTGAAAACAGCTGGATAGATTGAACTGCTTCCCAGTTTTCAGAGGTGTTTTATGTAGACCGTCCCTTTTGCTAGGCTCACTATTACCTGCTCGTGTTGGCCAAAGTAGTGGCAGCGATCTTAGTTTCTTCAAAGAAACCTGTCACTGCTCTTTAAGCAGAAGGAGAATATGAAGTTAAATTGCAGAAGAGTAGGAAAGTCTATGGATAATGAGTCATTTAAATGTTGTAACGATGCATAGATATATAGCAGGGCTTGCTGGTAAATTATTAAATATTTTACAAAATACAAAAAGTCAGCCTGAAGCAATGTGATACAAATATAGTCACCTCTGATTCAAGTGGAAAGAGTACGCAGAGAGGCTTAATGAGTTGTCCAGTGCAATGGATTGAATGACAGATTGAGATAAAAGTCATGTCTGAAGTCAAGCCATCTGACCATTAGACTGCAGATACATTAAATATTTAGACCACTGACTAACTTATGTAAAAAAAGACCATCACCACCCCAAATTCCTGTGTGCCAACTTCTATGTTCAGTTATAAAGAAATACCAGCTAACTATTATACTGTTAAAAAGAACCTACTCACATATTTGCAGCTTAGTAGATATCCAGAAGTATTTCTTTTGTCTGCAATTAAAATAAAAAAGCAATATAACAACCTTGCTGGCAGTTCAGCATAGAGGGATATTTACTGTAAACACTGTACCTCAGCTATCTTGAAAGCACTGTATTTAAGCAGATAAAGTAGATCTTTCATCTGAATTTGAAGGGGCGGACAACCTCCTTTTCAACAGAATGGTCCTTCACTTGAGAGGTAATTTTTCTACCAGTTATTGAAAGAGTCACAGTCTCAACAGATACAAACAAGCATAGTTGTAATGGAGATCAGATACCCCTGCACATCTGGGGAATCTAGTTTTCACAGTGTACAGAAAAGTATTAACCAAGGGTTTTCCTTCTATTCTAGGCTATCAAATGGGTCTGATATGTTATATTTTTTTGAAGAAAATGTGACTAATAAATTTGGCTCACTGGTTCTGAGCACGAAGTTGAATTTTGACTCCACTTACACAGTTGTGGTTGCTGCCTGCAATGAACTAGGAAATGCTTTTTCACAGCCGCTCATGTTCATGTTAACAGACGTAGGTAAATGCATTACTTACCTGCTTTCAGTTAGTCATAGCTATTTAGAAAGAAATGAAAACCATTTGCGCACTATATTTTTACTTACACCTGTCAGAAAAAATACCTACCAGTCTAATAAGCTTGTTACTCTATTCTTCCATTTAATCCTACGTTTCTAATTATGCTGTATGTCTAAGTGCTGTTTTCTTATTTGTGTTTTTGCTGCCAGTGAAACCACATCCTCCCAAGTTTTTGGTGAAATTTGAGAATTCTTCTGCAACAAATTGCACGTGTTTTTGGCGTGACGGAGCACAAGCACAGCACTTTAGACTAAGATATCGTCCACTTAACAGTTACACCTGGAACATGGTAATCATTTTTTTTGAAAAATAAATGAAGTTGTGATCCTTGGAGTTGCTTTAGTTTTAGTACTGCCAATATGAGTTCATTATTTTTGTTACTAGATTCAGTTTGTTCAAATTCGCCTCTCTGCTCTCTGGCATCGGAGGTAAGAAAAACTATCAGTCAAAAACTCTACCATTGTTCTAAAACTGAATGAAATCAAAACCCTGGCCCTGTAAGGAACTATGTGCATGATTATTTTCCCTTATGATGTCAAATGTTTGTATGGTGCTCTGAAGAATCAGAGCTTATGCTTGAAGCAGTCCTTTACTGAAATATGGTCATTTCTTCTCATTGTAGTTCGGGGGAGTACAGGTGTACAGTTTCCATATGCTTGTGCCTTCTCTAAGGTCTTTGTTTTTATTGTAAAGGGTAAGATAAATGTGTTGCTTGAAGTCATGTAAAATTTGTGAACAGAAGATGTGTTATCTTCATATAATTAAATGAGGGATTTTTCTCATGAGGAACTGCACTTAATACTCATTGTGACATTGTTTGAATTCGTAAAGTTGCTTTAGGTTAGGGTTTTTTTTTCTGTTAGTTTTTTAAAAAAAATCACAGCGTCATGTTTTGGGCTTTATATGGGCATTAATAATTCAGACTATCAGTGTCTTCAACCTTTTTTCCCTTGTGAGTTTAATGTTATATGTATGTCCTTTATCTTCATTAAAGGTTGAAAGATTAAATAGTGAAAAATGCGATCTTTATGGTCTGGAGCCTTATACAGAATACGAATTTCAGGTTAGCTGTAAAATTCACCCTGAGAGAGGACTGTGGAGTAACTGGAGAACATTTCAAACTCAGACTCCAGAAGCAGGTAATACGCTATGTGATCTGTTATACTAAGCCTGTATCTGAAGTTTACACAGAAGGGTAAATTTAAGCTAATGAATTCAGAATGCTAGTTGGTTTTCCCTCCCTGGTTAGAACTTTCTAAAAATCCCAGAAGCAGAGCCAACAGGGAAGTAAATTTTCCTTTCTGTAACAGAATTCTTTTTAATGAATAAAAAAATATGTTCAGGTTTCTTACAAAACAGGACTTTCAAGAAACCGTTGAGAAAAATCTGAAGGCTATATTCTTTTGACACTGTTGAAAGGTGGAGGAGTTTTTTCCATATTGCCTGGGGCCATAGCAGCCTGCCACATTGCCATGCATCTGGAAAAGGCAGAGAAAGCCTGTGCATTTTAGCTGGGAAATAAAAATATGTTGTATCTGTTCACATCTAAGCATTTTACTGAATTACTGTAACAATCCCATACACAAGTCTGGACAACCACCTTGTGAACCTCTGCTGCTAATGAGCCTCAAGCTGGGGAAGCACACTCTGGGCTCTTGAGCTCACCAAACAATTTGGTGAGGAGTCAAATGAACTGGCCAGGAAACTGTCTGGGTTCTCTCAGTTCTATTGTGGTTGACAGGTTTTAACAAAACAGTTTGGTTTTTGCCAAGTCATCATTTTCCAAGTAGAAAAACATTTCAATCAGAGAATTCCAAGTGGCTCCTTCCACAAAGCAGTAGAGATGTGGAGATTTGTGTGCTTTTAACAGAGCAGAACCTGGTTATATACTCCAGAGACCAGTCCCATCTTGAAGTAGGTGAGCACGTAGCATTTTGACTTCATAGGAATGCACAGCAGATTCCAGGGAACACACAGCACGAGCATGAGGGCAGTTATATTAATTTGTGCCAGTTCTAGTATTAGATGTCTAAGGTTTGCTATAGGCTCGCGTATCTGCTTGCTTGACTTCACACTGAGCTATATGAAGTGACATGCTGCAAAACTTCCAGTTCTTGTGAAAGAAGAGAGCTTCTCAGAAGTTTGTTTCAACAAAGATGTGTCGGCTTCTTTGGCATCCCCTCCTTTCATCTTGTACTTGGCTTTCATTGCTCTTTTTTGTGAATTACTATAAGATCTGCAGGCTCCTACTGTTATTACTCATGTTATTTACCACTACTGACAGCATCAGTTTCTGTAAGAAGCATTGATTGAGGCAGAAGGTGTGAACTTTTCCTTCCCTCCCCCACCTTCCTCTCAACCGTTTTCTTAACCTGCTGGGTTGCTATAGTATTTGTGGTCATTGCCCCTTTTCACCAGCCAATGCTGTAAAGAATCTCTTCAGCTAATCAAGGAGTGTTTTCTGCCCTCAGGCCATGTGAGAGCAAGGTGAGGTTGCAGATGAAAAATTCTGGGTAGGCAGTGGTTGATCTTTAAAGTAGCTGAAGTTCTATGCATGAGTTTGGCCTTTAGCAAATGCAGGAGTATACCTTTTAAATAAGATAATTTTTTTCATGTTTCTGTAGGCCTGACCTGCCACAAAACTTGTTCTGTGCAAGCACTGGTGTAAAATGAGCGTTTTTTTTTTTTTCCCCTCCCAGCTAATTTGTGTGATTTACATGTGAAATGAACCCTAAAATCTGGGCTGGAGTCCAACAGATGCGATCTAAACTTTTTTTTTTTGGGGTGGGGGGAGGGGGGGCTGCTTTGAGCTTGCCCCTTCCTGCCTTCCTGCCTCACTCACAGTGAGTGTATTTAGTTTTTTTTTTTCTGTGGGTCCTGCTTTTTGTTTTCTATTCCAGTCTCTATTTGCAGTTGATACAGGAGAAAGTTCTTAACGTTGCTGGTGTTAAGGATTTTTTTGTCTTTGAATTTAGCAAACAGCAGACAGCCCTTGTCCCTTCTTAGTCAGGGCTGGGCAACAGCTACCTGCTGTTTAAGTTATTACTAACAATTATTACTTGAATTTAGTGAGTTTATTTTGTTCGGGGACCTTGAGAAACCAAACTTTATTATCTTCTGTCACATTCACTTTATATGTCTCTATTTGATTCTGAACTATTTGAGCACGTTGTTCACCAGTTTTTGCAGTCCGAAGTTCACTTTAATGTTATTTTGGAAGGTTTATTCAGAACTGTTCAGTGAGTTTCAAACGGTATAAACATTAAGGCTTTTCAGGAAGTATCTTCCTTGAACTGGCAGCAGGCTTTGATACTGTCGGCTTTCTGAATGCTAAATGTTAACTCCGTGAATATAAGGAGAATCTTGGAAAGAGCATGGATTTTAAAATACCTATGACAAGGTCTTACCCAGACAGCTGTTAAAGATATTTATGGTCTAGACCTGTTAGCAAGGGTCGGGTACACAAAATCCTATAACCTGAAACTGTCTGTTGCTTTAGGATTGGTGTGGGCAACGCCAAGGACCTTAATTAACTCCAATTTTTACACAAAGATTGGACTTAATCCTGTCATTTGGATTTAGAGGCTTCCTTGGAAATCATACTGATTACTATGTGCAGAATAAAGTCAATGGCAGAATATAGTCCTATCTTATTTTTGTTTTGCCCAGTTATATGGGCAGTCATCACTGAGCTGAAAATGAACCATAATAGCATATATAGACTTAAAATACAAAAAAAAAGTACTGTAAAGACTGTAGCCTTTAAGCTGGGCATTACACTGTTTCAGAGGCATTTTAAATCTTAATTGTCTCAGAATTTTTACCTCTTTACCCTATTCAATATTTTGTTTATTTGCTTCAAAATAAAATCATTAATTCTACTCACCTTTTCCTTTCTACTCACTTTTTCAAACAGTGCCTGCCAAGCTCTTAGATGTCTGGTACAAAAAGCAGGACATGGACTCTCAAACGCAGAACATTTCTCTTTTTTGGAAGGTAAGTCATGTATATAAAAGCTAAGCAAATGCAGTAGTAATGAACAAGTTTAGAGGGGGAGCTATATTTTGTATATTTGTAGAAAAGGACTTAAACCAAAGACAGCACAGGGCTTTTGCCACTGTTTTGTCCAGTGATATAGAAGAACTGTTACCCAAGACTTTCCTCACTGTGCTAAATTTATCAAACCTTTCCTCTCCAGAATTTCCCTTTAAAAGTTCCCCAAATTTTTTGCCATATTCGAAGTATGACATGCTCCCAGCATATCTTTTCAGTGAACAGAGGATTACACTTCTTGGATGAAGTGGAAGTATCACAACCCAGAGTTACAACCTTTCTTGCAGAAATACAGATTCCCTTCCCCCTTTCCACACCCTGACCTGCGTTGCTGATGTTATATGTGAAGGTACAGATAATAGCCTTGCAATTTTTTTTTTCAGTTAGTATCTCCTTCTCCTCATTCCCTGGGTTTTCAATCACTAGCTAACCTCTCAATTAAAGTTACATCTTTTCTCCACAACAACAAGCATTAGACTATAGTCAAAACCAGAAATTCTTAGGTAATTCTTATGTTCTTTGCATTGGTCGTCATGCAGAAACACTGTCAGGACAGAAAATATGAGAGGAAAGGGGGACACCATACCCCCTGTTCTCCAAGTGCACAGAGCTTATGGGTCTGCTTTTGAAATATGAACTCCCTTCAGAGATGTTTTTGCTCTTACAAGAAGACCTGTGAGTGGTGAAGAACGGGGGAGTAGGAGAAGTGATTTATTGTAATAGCCCTTAAAGGTGACTGACCAAATTCTGGAAAATGTGTCATAGCTGCATACAGTTTGGGCAAGTGATACGGTTCTGTTCATGTTACTGCTTTATTGATAGCCCGTTAAATCCCTTTTCATAGGGCAGCGCCAGGAATAAATTGTTTTTCTGTACTGGTGTGAAACAGGTGGTGGGCAAGCTACATGCAAAAGAGTCTGCTAATAATAAAGCTGCAGATCTGAAACTGGACCAACTTGAAGCAGGTATTTGTACACAGAAGGGGCAGGAAAACATTCAGGTTGTGTTTGGGTCTGCTGAGCAGAACCTCCAGAAAGCTAATGACCAAGACTTTATACTGAAATGGTGATACTTCATATGGATAGTAGCTTCAAAAGAATTCAGCTTGAAATCCAATCAACCTGTAGATTGCAAGTTGTACATTATTATGCAGCTTAGGGGAAAAGGCTTATGCCCTGTCGTTTATAACACTCACAATGAAAGTATGTCTTTAAGACAGCAAGGAGCCATAAGTTACATTGCTCCCACACTGTGCTGTATTCTGAATCCAGATGTAGCACTGACACAGTAACAGATTTGCCGCGTGGCAGAGGGAAGCAAGACAACCAGCCATAAATAAAAATGTGTCGTCTTGCTTTGCAGGCTCCTTGTTGCATCCTTTATGTGGAACTGATACAGACAGACAGTGTCATTCTCAGTGCTAGGAAAGTTTCTCCATTTTTACCAATTCAGCACTTAGAAGTCAGGCCTTAAGAGGACTCTCCAGACTGTGAAGTGTTTTGCTTTGTTTGTTTTGTTTTGTTTTCCAAAACCAATAAGTTTTTTATTTTTAAGCGTAATTATCTTTGACTTCTGGTTTTCAGTCTCTAAGTCAACCTCTCAATTAAGGTTAGATCTTCTCTCCACAACAACGAACATTAGTCTATAAGTGAAAGCAGAAATTCTTATGCAATTATTTGACTCCACCATTTGTGGCTTTCAGATATTAAACTCGCAAGAGAGAGTTGACAACACTCAGTTTATCTAAGCAGGCTTCCTGTGGTGTCATTCACAAATTGGATGTGACACTTTTTTTGTAGTTTTTACAACAGGTACAAAGCCAAAGACTTAGTTCAACCATTGTATGTTTTCATATTTTCACATTAATACCAAAAAACTATTACCAATTTAGTTTCAGCATAGTTTCAAAAGGTTTTCAGAGTAATTTCAGGTGCTGCTTTTGTCCTAAGTCACTGCCAAAGCGACTATAATAAACTGCAAACATTTTCCGATTTTTAAAAGTGTTTTTCCCTCTTCCTTTTTTATTTCATTATTTAAAAAAAAGAAAAGCCAAACAAAATACGCTTTCTGTATAGAGGAAACCATGAAACTGATAGCACAAAGTATGCTTTCAAACACCCAGAGTGGAAAAAAAACAGCTACAGGTGTTACGTGTGGTGGTGTAGATTAACTTTTTCAAAGAGAAGTGTATTGCAAGAGGTAGAATTTAAACAGTTTCTTATCTCATGTTGTTTTTTTTATTAACAATTTGGATTTTACCAGAATCCAAACTTGCTCATTTTCACAAATCCAGTTGTACAGTTAATACTTTTTGCCCCTCGTGAAAAGTGACTTGAATCTGAGGAGAAAAAAATGGGCATGTTTCACTGTCTCTAGCTATGTTGCTGGTTGATAGATGAGCAATTCAGCAACAAAAGAGCTTCACTAAACTGAATTAAACAGGAACAATAAATAAGAAATAGAAAGATATGTAACCTTAAAAGAGAATCTCAGGTAAATGTGTGCTCTTGCCACTGCCATTAGGGAAGTAACTCATTTCAGTTACAGCGTTGCTTGAAGGCAAACAAAACAGTAACCAGATCTGAAGATACCCAACATCACATAGACACAGGAGCTAATAAATTTAGCAAGGAAGAGATGCCAGTGGTCCCACTTTGAGAGTCATAACTGGTACCTGGGAATGCAGTTTAGCAGCCAAACACTAGACATATGAAATGGGAAATATCTTGAAATGTGTGCAGTCAAGTGTTGGGTGGCACACTATTATGTTGCAGTCTGGAGAAGAAGAGTGAGTGACAGGCTGACCTGCCGAAAGGTGAGAGTTGGGAAAGGCTGTGGCCAGGTGCCAAGGGATTCCCAAGAGAGGAGCATGCAGGGAACTGCAATCAGACTTGGAAGCAGAAAGCAGAGGTCAGGGCAAGAGGGTCTGCAAAAGGAGAAGCAAGAAACTCTGCAGTCACGATACTAGCTAGTAAAGCGAGATTCTTTAGAAAAAGCAGGTGAAACTATGCTTCCTTTAAAATGCATTGGTTGCACTTCAGGCCGCCTGATTTCTAGTTTAAAACAATTAACATATTTCAGAAAAAAACCAGTCTCAAGAAATGAGGAAGCAATTCCTGTAGCACTGCTAATGTTTTCTTCAGCTTTTAGAAGAGAAGAAAGTAAAAACCGATAATTTGTTACCAAAGAACATTAGTTGGTATATGTTATCGTCCAGTAAGTAACACTCACTATAAATAGCTTCTTTATTATTAGAACAAAGAAGGAAGAAAAAAAAATACCTTCAAGTGGAAGTTGTTCTCTTAAATCAGACAGCTTGAGCATCTGAATTAGGGTGATGCTTTGAACCCATCATCTGCCGTGAGGCAGAAGCCTTAAAGAGTTCTGGATAAACGGATCTGGCACCCTTTTTCTGAAAGACTGGTGGTAGTAGTAAGCCATAGGGCAGTAGGGTGAGAGAGCATGTAGCCAAGTCAGATGATCTTTCTGATCACCAGCTCCTGGGAGAGAATGAAATGTGAATTTGGACTAAACTCTTCCCTGGAAAGGAATGAAAACGTTTGATTCAGTATTGCCAGGAAATATCAAGCCTCCCAACCACCTTCATAGAAGATTCTGAAATTAGGGCCTGCTTCAGTTCCTAGTCTCATATGGAAGACTCCATGGTTATCATTTGGTTGGGAATCACACCTTGAAGAGGACCAACTGCAGTCTAAAGTGAGCATGTGCTTTTTAAAGCCTTATTCAGGAGGTTTTAGAAGTGTAACATAAAATCACTTTCATGGTAGTAAGTTAGTTTATAAGCAGATAAAATACTTTTAGTTCATGATTACCATATTACCTGACTACATCAGGCACTTTGTTAGTGGCTATAGAATGTCTTTATTGCTTATTTTAAAATGCACTGTGTGTGAGACTTCTGTACTGCAGCTGCACTATGCCTAGGCCATTTTGTGTTCATTATGCAGAGACATAGCAAACCTTCTGTGAACAGCTAGCTGCCTCAACATATGCAGAGTTTTCAGGAAGCTAAACCAGCATCTTCCCCCCAGATCTGAAAATTTATTAATCAGTTTTCTGCAATATACTCTTAATTTCTTTTTTTCTATTCTCCCAGTCTTTGATCTTGTCAGAAAAAAAGTAATAAACACATTTTCTTCGCAGGCTTTGAGCAAGTCAGAAGCAAGAGGAAAAATCCTGCATTACACAGTGTCCTTTCAAGCACTAAACCCCAGGAGTCCCAAAGCAATAGAAACAAATGTTACCACGCAGACCAGTTACACCAGAGTCACGCCAAAGATGGGCTACAACATAACAATCACTGCTGATAACTCAAAGGGCAGCTCCCCTCCTGCATCCGTTGTGACCGAGCTCAAGCTGGGCATTCAGGGTAAGGACTTTCACTGGCTCTGACAACTAGAAATAATCAGCTCTATTCCTGGTTAAGTACCATGGAAGCACCCGGATCCTACCACTTTGTGCTCCTTAAGGTCAACCTCAATGCACCTTTAGGTATCTGCAGTGAATGGAGTTTAGATCCAGTTACAAATGTAGTTGAGGGCAGGGGTGCAGTTTCATGACAAGTTAAGTTGTCCTAAATTAGTGCTGCTGTAATTTTACCTCCACCCCCTGCTGCTGACACAGGTGCTTGTTTGACCACACCATAAGCCATCCAGGGACCTGATCTGGCAGAAAATAAGTCATGCCAAAAAAAAAAATAAAGGAATAAGGAATATATTTTTCTGATCCAAGAGAAAGGATGGGCCTGCATGGCTGAAAGCAAGGTAGTGGTGAGAGGAAAGCACAGCTGCACACACTTTAGCTGTCATGAAATTGCAGTCTGTGTTGTACCTGTACAGCAAAATTACTGAGCATTAACTGAACTCATCTGGCCATGTATTTCCTATGCTGATAGCCTAGCCAGGCACAAAAGAGTCTCCCAGTAACCAGATCTGTTTGGAGTCCTCTATTTGCACTTGTCCTAGTGTGACATAAGTCATAAGTAAACCATTTACAGAGCGCATTGCTAAATATTACTTACCCAGTGCTGCATCAGACATCACTGAGATGCTCTCTCTCGCTCCTTTGAAGGCAGATGGCACAGCTCAAATTGCAGAATGCATTAATTGCGTGAGTGCTTTTGTTAGGCAAGCCTAGGTGGAGATAGGATTGATGCAGAAATATAAATGGTATATGTGATTATTTATTTGGAGGGAGTGAGATGAGAACTGCTTTGTGGGCACAGTTCAATTGCATTTGTTAGAAAAACTGGTTGTAAAAGATGATAGTGCTTTTGTATGACAGATGGAAAATTGGTGTCCTTTGCAGCAGTTTCTTCTGTAGGAAAAAGTAACCGTGACCTAGCTGTGAAAACAAGAGCTTTCTTTGGTCTTGTGGAGCTCATGTGGGTTTGTGGCCCTGAGAGGAGCAGAGCTGTTAATATGTGCAGCAACAGTATCTTCTTAAAGATACTTGAGCGTGGCTTAGGTAAAGAAGCAAATCTGTGACTGTTCCAACTGCTGCGCTGTGAGACAAGAAAATGTGGCACTAGTCCTAGCAGCACAGGTAGAGATCACCCTGGCATAAAGACTGTCTTTCAGCTGTGGTTTATTTTGATGCATTGCATAGCACCAAACTGGAGGAAACACAGTAAAAACCATATATCAAACTTACCAAGTTGAATACAGACAGCTAATAGCACCTGACACGCACATCAGGTTAAGGGAGCATGAGGCGAGTTTGTGCTGATGGGGTGTTTTTTGTTTGGTTGTTCTTTCTCCCATTTAAGATCTGCCTCCTCCTCGGAATGTCTCTGCTATAGCAATGGGAAATAACAGCATCTTAGTCATCTGGAAACCTCCCATTAAATCTACTGCATTCATCAATGGCTACATAGTGGAATGGATAGATATCCATAGAAATAAGAGCCTGGAACCCCATCTAAACTGGATAAAACTTCTAGCATCCAACCTGTCTACAGTGATATCAGGTAAGTATACTTTAGAAGTCGGCTATTACTGAAGCAGCCTTTTATTTTTGAAATCTTTTTAAGGAACAAGTCAGATCCCAATTTTTATTAGTTCAGCCTGAGAAAGTATGGCATTTAAAATTTTTTTTTTTAATGGGAGGAAAAATTCGGTTGCTGCAGTTCAACAGTCGGTCTCAGCTGAGAGTTACAGCTGGTAAGTAGAAAGTCTCTCTCTGTCTTTCTCTCGCTCTAAAAAAAAAAAAAACACT